AATTTTTTCAACATTTTCATGTGTTCGGGCCGTGGAAGGACGACCGGAACGAGGTTTGTCATCAATTGATATTTCACCATTTTTGAAATGGGAAAACCACTCAAACACTTGAGTTTTCCCCATAGCATCGTCCTTGTACGCCGTTTTGAACATCTCAAGAGTTCCTGTTCCACTTTTCCAGAGCAAAAAGCAGAATTTCACCGCCGCACGCTGTTCGTGAAAATCAGCCATTGCAAAAACTACGATCACACAAAACAGTTGTCACTATAAACTCTGCTGAAACTAGTCCTTACCTTCTGAAGCAACGGTAGTCGGCTTATCGACTCAGGAATGTTAGCTCTATGCGCTCATAGCTGCAAAACGCGGTACTACAAAAGCTCTGCCCACAAAAAAATTAGTTCGGTTTCTTTTGGGTACCCCATCGTATCAGGTATTAAAGTTTCTAATCATCTTCCTCAAACAATAAAAATGTTGGCTACTGATGTTAGAAGTTTTAAATCTGCACTGAAGAGGTTTCCATATCATCATTCTTTTTATTCCATGAATGAATATTATCAACATAACTGGTCACTGTAAATTTGTAATGTATTTAATTCAGTTAATATAGGTTATTTAAATAAAATTGTATTAATTCAAGTTTTATGGTAAATTATTTTTAAATTTTTTACTTTATATTATTACTTACATTAATTGATTTTCATTATGTGACTCGTGTAATTTTGTATATGTATCTTGATATATCTATTTTCAAAGGGGCCATTTCCACATCCTAGGTTCTTTACCTGTATGGATATATGAAAAATAAAGGAAATGAATTTTGGCTAATCTGTATTAAAGAAGTGTCAAAGGATGTATATGTGTTACCTAACCTAACTTCTAATATGACATAATGTAAACGAATACAAGTCTAAATAAAACCAACCTAATCTCTCGGGGAACACATATATACATCCACAGCATGAAAAGGGTTAAAATATCAGTTGGTTGCCATTTGTTGGAAATTCAGTTTGTAGGTACCTGCTATTGGCAATCTAGATGCTGAAATAGGTCACAACCTTCCCAGTTCATAACTAGTATTCGTCACGTCATTCAGCACTATGTAATTAATGAACTCCAAAAAGCAGAGCCTTTCATGGTACATTAATACCTGTAGATACTCACCTAGTCAATAAATTCTCACAAATTTCCAAAGCCCATTCATGACCTTGCTCACAACAGACCACAACTGATCCCTACTCTTAACCAAATTAATCCAGTCCACACCCTCCCATCTATGTTTCCGGTGTCTGGATAGCTCCATTGGTATAGCAATGGACTAAAGACCAGACTGCCCAGGTTCAATTCCCAGTATGGCAAGATTTTTCTCTTCTCCACAACTCCCATACTGGCTCTGGGGCCCATACAGCTTCCTATCAAATGTGTATTTTTGGGGGGGGGCATATGACTAGGGTAAAACAGCTGGGGTGTGAAGCAGACCACTCATCTCCATCTAGTGCTAAGGTCAAGAAAGATAGAGCTATATCTCCACTCCCCCATACATTTTCATGCCATAGTGCTTAATTAGTTAAGAACAGGAACAACTTTACCTTTTACCTTTACTTTTAGTGGTGTGTGTCCTTCACAGTATTCTCTTCACACCACACATGCTATGGTGCTGAGAGCTTCATTAAATAAACCAAGAAACTATACAAAACATTCACAAAATTAAAAGAAAAAAATATTTATGAACCACAGGATAATGAAAAGAATTTATTTTACACATTCTTCTAAAAATCCACACATTCTTAGTGACACAGAGTTATGAAGTGTCATCTCGTCTCTCAGTCCTCCTCACAACTTCCTTCTTCTTTCCTGAACGTGGTGTCACGCGCGGTTCAACTCATCCAGGAAAATGCGACACTTTAACTTCAACACTTTCACAGCCTCTATAAACAGGACATCTGGTGGCAATGCTCCAACTGATTCAATGGTGACTGAAAATGAAGAAGAGGTTCACCGAAATTGATAAAAAATGCACTAATATTTAGTGTGTAGATATTTTTAACTATCACACAAACTCCACTGTCAACACAACTATAATTTATGAATTTATGTTTCACTACATGTTTCAACCCTTATAGGGTCATCCTTGGGGGGGGGGGCGTGCATCTATACAAATAAATCACAACAACCCACCAGTGGTCCCCATCAAAGCAGATGAATCAAGTCCACAACCTCACATCCTATTTCATAAGATCCTTTCTATATCTAAGTCTTCTTAGTGATCTCTTTCCTTGATCAATCTAATATCGGGTGTGGAGCAGTGGGGTGGGGGGGGGAATCTTTCCCCGGGGTAAAGCGGCCAAGATGTGAAGCTGACCACTCACCTCCAGTTAGTTAAGCACAGGGACAACTTCACCTTTATCTTTACCTTTACCTGTTTCAAAGTACAGAGCTTAAACATGTTACTTACAAATGAAATGATTCTTGATTCTGCCCATCTTCACAGCATCTTTGAGATCTTCATAACGGAAAACATTTCGGCTACAAGTGTCATACCTAGCATCCAAAACTTTGGCTTTCTTTTTCCCTGAAGAAACATTTTAATTTAATTTAATGTGTATAAATTAACATAAGGATTGCATAAAAACACAGCATTACAGTAAAAGATCTACTGAAAGCACACAATCAATTATTTCAATCATACATTCACAATCCAGTTACATTAATCTTCATATGTCACTTGAAGTTGCCATCTTTGAAGAATACCCAAACTAAAAAATGAGAGAGAGTTTCCATATATTTTGCATATGTTCAGACATTTTACTGACAGTCTTTGTGAACTTTATTTGGAAAAATGTTTTTCATTTAAGTTTCTCAGCTGGTCAAGAAATCCCCAGCATTTTGTGGCACACAGGGGTTCATTACTGTGTTCAGAAGAGGCTGCCACTACTATCTGTCCTAAGGCAGATGAATCCAGTCTCCATCCTCCCATTCATGAAGCTATTAACAAGTTACGTATCAATGACTATCAAGTGAATGAAAATAAATATACTTACCATGTTTAGATTCTTCAATACCAATAACACCCGGGGAGAAGCATTTCTGTAACCTTTCAGCTTGTTCATCCTCCACATCACGAGTAAGGATTATTTCTGGCAGAAGCCTATAGAATGCAGTAGCTGTAACAGTACTGTGACATGTAGACCCATTGCTATGGAATGAGTAACAAACACATTTCTGTAGGGATGGATTGTTGGAAACCAACTCGTTACAGAACATGTTTCCATGGATAAAAGTGATCAACAACATTTACTTGGATACAAATATGCTATATAAGAGATCAGAATTGAGTTCAGATCAGTAGAAAACAAACTAGAAGATAAGTCAGTCACAGTTTAGAACAGAATAGAGATAGACCAGAATGGAGCGAGTCCTAGACAATCATTTACTGAGACATTGTAAGTTTTTGTGATTATGAGTGAGTGTAAAGGAGCGAGCAATAAATCCAATCATCCAATCCAAACCCATTATTACCCAGTCATTACCAATAAAATTGTGACAGTACATTACACACCATCTTCATCTACCAAAAAGCCCTTTCTGAGCCACAGCCTTCCTTAGAAGATTATGCCAAATTTGTCTCCTCAATTCTGTTTTCACTTCTTAGGATTTCACAATAAAAATTTTTTACACGGCAAGGTCAGCCATGCACTTAACCCTCAACCTGGAGGGCCAGGTCTCTGTATTTATGTCCTCCAGTGACAGGGAGGCCCAGTTATACCCCAGGCACCACATTCCCTCTTGAATGAATGAATGAATGAATGAATATATGAGGGGTAGGCCTCCTCAGCCCTTGCACTGTGATCTACAGTGATCTATTGTGCTTCACATTTTGATTATCCCCTCAGCAATGCTGCGCTTTGAATGAAGCACAGGCTTTTGTACATGGGGGCATCGAAATAGTCACTTGGTTCCATAAAGTACTGACCCAAGTGACGTAATATTAAATAAGCTAAGGCCTCACATTCACACAGGATATGTCATTCACTCTTCACTGCCTTCTAGGACTTGCAGGGCTACAGTACAGGCATTTTAACCCACCTCCACACAGGAGACATTACACACCAGTTAAAACAAAAATAAAATAATTTCACACACATAATGTACATATGACAACACCACAAGAGGGGATGATAACATTAAGATGTGTGAAGGAGAGATGTATTACAGAAATGGGATGGCACTGACTCAGGATATTGTGACAGGATGAATGCAAGAGTGAGCCACTGCTAGATGTTTGGGTAAACATATAACAATACTTGACTTACTGCTAGGCAATGGATATGCATGCAACAGTAGAGGGACTGATGCAGGCAGTATTTTCTATGCAGTCCATCTCAAGATTATATACTGAGAACCTATATGCGATATCATCTGGGTGGTCAAGCTTATGACCGTTCAAGTCCTGCCATTGTAGCATAACACAAGATAGACATGACCTGCTTCACAAAGCCTGAACTGACAGAGGACTTGTATACAGTGCACAAGGTAGAATTTTCAATAACATGATGTGTGTGTGATATGTATACTTGACAAACGCAAAGCCCATTCATAAGAGACAAACCCATCCTCTCTTTAGAGAGAATGTTACACAAGGACTATGACCTCAAGGGTTCAGGTGCCCTCCCCCCTTCAGAAAAAACTCTGGTCATGATCCTCAACAGCCTTGGTGCCAAAATGAACTGATCAGCTGTAAACCACCAGTCATAAAGTAACTCTGATTCTGACTGAGATAGTCAGTTCAGAAGGGTCACCAGCCAGCAAGGACAGGAGCCACTGAACACTGAAACTGAGGAATCTACAGTGCTGGATGCTGCTACTGGGCAACAATTAATGACAACAAACTTAGTGTGTGCTGTAGTTAGAATGTGAGTGCATGAATTAGCAAGAGCATTAACAATTACTTTTAGTTACAAGGTGTAAGAGTTCAATGAATCCAATCACCAATCCAAATCCCATGTCTAGTCATTAACATGTGACTTTATTTAACTGATGGCTTCATTGCACTATCATTGCAGTGCTAGTGTTGACAACATTATATCATGCCTTTTATGATACTGGCACTTGCATAACTGACCACAGAATACTTACCAACAGGTGAGAATTTTGCATGGTCCTTCCCAATACCTTTAACAACATGAAGTTTAAGATCAAGCTCATGTCCTGGTCTCATCTTACTGATCAAGATATCATCATGCACAGGTCCTACATCTTTCGCCTTGTATATGTCACCTTGGCTCCCAATTGGCAACCACTTCATGTGCCTGGTATATACTGCAATATTAAACTTAAGTAAACTTAAGATAACAATATACTACATATACAATTTATTTCAAAGCTTTAAACCTGATTAAACAGCAGTCAATGGACTGAAAAGAACTGGATTTCAAACTATTTATTTTGATATGGTAATGATCTTTCGATCATTGTACAAACTGAGAGGCATACAGGGTGGAATGTACCTCTCAGAGGTTTTCTCCTTTACATGATGATCTCACCCTCACACAATGCATCTTCTTTCACTTTCTGGCACTTCACTAAGGAAGTTTCACTTATTCTGTAGTTACTTTACCCTCTGTTAGGCTGGAAACAATCCTTTGACCTGAAGGTATGAGTTAACCATCTGGGGAATATGAGATTTTAAATCTCAAATTCTACATGGCTAGTGGCCACACTTTTAACTCAGGGGTAATGGCACTGTAGTAACAAAAAAAGCTGACATTCAGTCACCTGAACCACACATGTGCACAATCACAATATTGCAATGAACAAATGGTAAGTTAACAGCTTGTGGCACTGTGAAATGTAGTGAGCTATCTCAGTATGATGTCCTGTATCAAACTTTTGCACTGACAGTGATGAGGAGCTGGAATAGCTCAGTCAGTAGAGTGACTGACTATGGGCTGGACAATCGAGGAGTCAGGGTTCGAGTCCTAGTGTTGTCACGAATTTTCTCTTCTCCATGTCATCCAGACCAGCTCTGAGGCCCACCCAGCCTTCTATCCAATGAGTACAGTGGGCTCTTTCTTTGGGGGGGGGAAGCAGCAGAGGTGTGAAGCTGACCACTCACCTCCTACTAGAGCTGAGGTCAAGAAAATGTGGATCTATACATCCACTCCCCCACACGCCTTCAAGGCATAGAGCCTAATTAGGTAAGCACAGGGACAACTTTAGCTTTACTGACAGTGATGACCCTTCTTGACACAACTTAATTTAACTAATGAATATTACTGTTTGCTGGGATGTGACACTAATGTTTTTCAGGGGCACACTGCCTACATTTTAAAAAATTATATAGTGTCAAATCTCACAAAACTGAATTCTTCATAGTCATAAAAGTGAGGCCCTAAAATCTCACAGGTTGTATGTCTCTTTGTACATACTGTGTTACCAAGTTTTAAAGGATATAACAGTTACATTAAGAGAGGTTCTTTTACAAGAACACTAACATAGCAAAGGCACTCACTTTTATGGTCCTTGTAAATATCATCAGGGTTTGTGGAGTCTTTTGGAGCATTTGTATTCCAAGTGCATTTTACTTTCAACTGAAATTCCAAAGTGTCCTGTTCTGTTCCATCTTCATCACCTAAAAAATTCAGAAAAATAAGAATTATGTATACCATACAAGAATAACTCAGAATAATGAGAACAAGGAATGAAAAAATTTGAGACAGAATTTAAGGAAAACCCTCTGGAAGACAAATTAATAAATAACAGAATAAGATGATATGGACACATATGAAGAACAAACAAAAATAGAACCTAACAGTAAAATGCTCAAGATGAAGACCAAAACCATGATGAAAAAAACAGATTCAAAAAGAAGGAAGACAATGGAAGGTAACTGAGGAGGAGGAGCACCTTGGGAACTCACAGAGAGACAAAAAAGCTATGTTGCTAATGACCCATATAAAAGTGAGGAAGGGGAGGGGCAGGAGATGGGAGAGGAGGGAACTACTGTTAAATAAGTGAATGGTTTGTAAAACTGTTTTAGAAACTGCAGAAGAGCCAGATATTGGTGTAATACCAAAACTCAACAAAACCATTACAACTGCAAGAGCCTGCAAGTGTTCTTACCCGGCTGTCTGTATTCAAATAACCGTGGATCAGCTTTAAGTGGAATTAAACCCAATCTGTGAGCAAGCACCTCATCTTGCAGTAGTGAAGTATTGTTGTACACAAACACCTTCTCTATAGCCATGCTAGGAACCTATGGGAACATATTCAAATATGAAGCTTACAAATATTATAACAAAAATATATAATGTACATTCTAAACCGTTTGTAACACTTAGGAAGAAATATGGGACCTTATAAAGAGAAACAAACTGAAATGCAAACAACTCTTATGACATTTTTGTAAAGTACTGAGGGAAAAACATGACAGTATCAGAAATTGCATTTTTTAAATAATAAATTGTAATCCATAATTTTTAAGAGCCAGAAGAGAAACAATTACAATGGTTTGTCTATATAAAAAGAATGGATAAAGCAGGGATGCCAAACAAGAAATAAGAATTAAAATTAAGTAAAACAGACCTATATACAGCACAGAACAAATGACAGTTCAGCCACATACTAGAAGGCATCAAGAACAAAGGAAAATCTTGCAAGACATTCAAATAATGAAGAAAGCAGTCTTCTGGGATTTGGCACCGTGTATATGTGGTGTTAACCGACGTTTCGGAGGAACGTATCGCCTCCATCTTCAGGGTAGAAGAAAAAATATAAGAAATCTGCAAGCGGAGAGACCGTGAGAACCGGTAAAAGCAGACTGGTGTTGGAACGTCGGTTAACACCACATATACACGGTGCCAAATCCCAGAAGACTGCTTTCTTCATAGTCACCGCCGTGAAAGCCTCAAATCTTACATTCAAATAATGATTGTGAGAAAATAGAAGAGATTAGAAACGTTTCATTCAACAGTCCATATAAGACAAAAATGATGCTACGTGTACAAAAATTATGGCAGGAGCCTGGGCTGGAAATAGGGGTAAATACAGTAGACACTGCATGATATTTCCAGAGTACTTTCTTCCAATGAAGCTATTTACTGTGCCTTATGAAATCATAATTATTTTTCCCCAACAAGAGTATACAGAGGAATACCCAAACCTACACTGCAATAAACTGCAACATCCCTTGGACTCTTCCACTGATCTGGAGCACCCATCTGGTTCTGTAGAGCTACTTCCATCACTGGCCGAAACACAGGGTTGTTTTTCCTTTCCTCATCTGGCAGACTCCTACTGGTCTGATCAGGATTCTGGTCCTATTCTCCTCTCCTTATATCAATACCTTTTTCCATGCTTGGCTTAGTCTCTTATCCTGAGGATGGAGGCAACAGGTTCCTCCAAAATGGTCATAACATTTTACCTGACTAAATAGCATCACATACCAAAGCGGCCTCCATAGTCTAGGGGTAACGTTCCCACCTCATGATAAAGGTACGCGGGTTCAAACTCGGCGGAGGTCGTGGAATTTTTAAAAGCGGAAAAATTCAGGGAACAAGTCCTCCAGGAGGGACTTCAAGCTGTGGGTCCCATGTCGTAGATTTACGGCACATAAAAGATCATGTCTCTAGGAGACCTCCGAGCAAAATTAGGCAAAAAGTTTCCCGCCCAAGTAGTTTCAAATGCCTCTGGTAGATGGGGGAAGTATCAGGTACCGAGGGCCGACCTCGTTGCTGAAAGGGGCTGATAGCATGCACCAGTACCGGTAGAGTATGGTGACTGGTAGAATATCAAAGGGGGACATACAACAGACTATTAGCTGCGGTGCATGGGGAAACCCACCCCCTCTTCTAATAATAATAATAATAATAATCACATACCACCAGAAAGTAACATTCTTCATATATTTTTAATACATTCTATTCTAGTGGAATCTGCAAAAAGATACTGTGACGTGTTGCGCTATGGATGATGCCCCGCCCTCCCCGCCAGCCGCGACATGCCAAGCGGAGCCAAAGTGAGCCGAGCCCCAGCACACTGGTCACTATGCAATGTGAGTAAACAGCTAGGCAAAGCGGGTAAACAGAGGTTGCGAGAGACGACGGTAGTAACAGCGGTACCCATTACGTAACAGGCAACAGTATTGTCTTCTGTAATGTGACACCATGCAGTCTGACAGACAGTTACCACTATTCCATTCCAGACTACATGGCATCACATACCACAAGATTAGTCACTGCTGTGGATACCTTAAATCTCATGCAGTTATTACTGAACCTTTCAAATTTTATAAATACATGTTTTCTAAATTAACTGGAGAACAATGTTGACCTCCACTGAGGGCCAAGGTACCAAACGTGTTGAGCTTTATCTCTTTACCACCAGTATGCTGTATGGTACTTAGGTTTAAGGACAACTTACCTCTGAAAGAAGGAGTCTTCTAAATGCATTTGCTATGGCTGCATGTATTCCAATCAAGTCAAATTCCATTTCTCTTTCATTCCACTTAACAATTTGGACACTAAAAATCTGGGGTGGAAATAAAATATATATATATACATGTATATTTCATTTTAATTTAAAAAGGACCAATATTAACAGTCACATTTTAGACTGAACTAAATGTACGCAGAATATACTAACTTACTTTCTTGAACTTTTCATGACTCCATGTATCATCAAAAGTATAGCTTCCAGGATAGTCACATGCTGTTGCCTGAAAGAAAGAAAGAAACAAACAAATAATAATATTCAAGTTATTTCCAAAGGAAAATATCCATAACAATCGCAATTATGTTTATTGCTTATATGGGATGGACATGGCGGAACATGGTGGCCAGACAGCTGTATGCAATAACATTTTAGTAGATAACAAGTGTGGAAAATGTAACAAAGTAGTGCAAAATGGCATACTATGCGATAATTTTGATAAATGGTATCATTTTAATAAGTGTAGCAATGTAAATGGAGACAAAATGCCTGATAATCAATGGCTTTGTGTTTCATGCTCACTACGAAATCCTCCGGAAAATGAGATTATGACTACGCAGTATGTTGACTGAGACGTTGTCCATGTTAGAGGAAATATCATCATTGCGAGAAATAATATCTATCTTACAGAGTGAAAGAGTGCAAGAAGTATGTCTTCTGGTACATTATGAAAACGAAAATGGTTGGAGCCAGGCAGCTAAAGGTAAATCTATAAGAAAACAGGTGACTCCACAGTTTTCAGTTTCAACAAGTAACAGATTCTGCCACCTAAATGATGTTGCTGATGAGACTGTACAAAAGAAAATACTTAGTTGTCAAAAAAAGAATGTGAAAAAAAAGAATTAATTGATGTTTTATAGTGATAGCTATGGTTGTGGCACACCTATGTCACTGAACAAATCTAATGATGATGTTTAGGTGTTTGGTGAGGTTAAGCCGGGTGCTAAGATAAAGGATGTTTCAAAAAACTGTGTAAGAGATTGTGCCGTACTTGGCCCACAGGACCATGTAATAATTATGGGTGGTGCCAATGATATTGCTAGAAACAAAAGAAAGACTTGTATCAATGTTGTATAAAAGAACACTTTCCACACTGACTTGTACAAATGCTGTTCTCAATACACCGATGAGGCATGATTTAATAAGATTCAATAGCAAATAAGGAAATAAGGAAAGCAAATTTGGACATAAACAAGGTGTGTAAAAGATTCAGAAACGTTAAAGTATTGGATATAAGTAATATAAGCAGAGCATATCACACAAGGCTTGGGCAGCACTTATACAGACTACGTAAAGAATATATTACTCAAGAAATAAGTAAAATAATAGGTAATAATAAAAAGAACCAACTACAGTGGAACCTCATTTAACGAGCATAATTCGTTCGAGAATCTTACTCGTAATGCGAAACACTCGTTAAGCAAAACAATTTTTCCCATATAAATTAATGTAAAATACCATAATGCATTCCATGCCAAGAAAATGTTCAAAAAATTTTATGTATAACGTTTATTCAAAGAAAATTATATATACATTGTTAAGGAGCGTGAATCATCTTCATCTTTACTTCTATGCGGAATGAACCAACCTGGAATGTGAATTCGATTTGCAGAAAAAAAAATCAAAATAATTACTATATTATTTATGACACATATCTAATCCTTTTTTACCAGAAAGCTATCTAGAGACATTTGTTTTTGCCGACGCTTCAACATTTGGTGAAAATACGACATAGCATTATCATTAAATAAATTTGTAGTGCACATAGCCACTGCCTTATTAGGGTGATGCATCGCAATGTACGATGCAAGTTTTCCATGCTTTCAGCATTTCTCTTATTGTGCCAGAAGATTGTTGCATTGCTGTTACCTCCTCCTCCTCCTCCTCTGACAAACTCTCCTCCACAACTTCTTGCTGTGAAACACAATGCAACTCCAAATCGTGCAAATCGTTGACGTAGACTGATTGTATGTGCGTGCTAGATCAGCCACGCTCACACCTCATTCTCGCTTTTCAATGATTTTACGTTTCATTTCTACGGTTATTTTTATTCTCTTATGGCTGTCTTTTTGCAGCTTTTTCTTCAGGGACATTTTTGCAACTTTGCACAAAAAAATCACAAATAATGTCTGAACACAAGTTTGGAAAAATGTGCGATCACAAGCGACACTAAGACGCTAGCAGAATGAGTGCTAAACACAGACTGATGTAGCAAGCACACAATCCGGGACTTCCCCTCTCATCACTCGTTATGCGAAACGTCGCTCGTTAAGCGAGTCACTTTTTTACAATTTGTTTTGCTCGTTATGCGAATTACTTGTTATGGGAGGTGCTCGTTAAGCGAGGTTCCACTGTAAATGTAATAGTTCTAGGTTATCCAAATCAGGGAAACTAACAATGAAGACCGGATCCCTTGGGTTCCAGTCATTCCCAATTGGGGAAGTCAAGCCAATGCATAATTTGAAAATAATACATCAAAATGCTCAATATCTTAGTAATAAAGCTGAACTATTTACTGAATTTCTCCAAAGTACTACCCCTGATATATTAGCTATTTCTGAAAATGGTCTCAAAGAGGATGAAATTCCTCAATGTATGTTAGAAAGCTATACTCTAGTCTCATATTTTTGTAGGAAAAATATAAAGGTGGAGGGATAGCTATTTACAGTACCAGTAACATGATGAAAAGTAAACCCTTGAATTGGGTTACAGGAAAAAGTATAGAAAAAACTCTTTTGAGGTTACTGGTATAGAAATAACATGTGACAAGATAAAACTTATAATTATTACCAGGGCCCGGATTTTGATGACTTGTCATCTTTTTTCCTTGTATCCTATGCGATGCTCTTAAATATATAAATCTCGGATATGAGCTGCTGGTTACAGAAATGTAAATTTTATATGTAATTTTGTCATTTTTTTTGACATTTTTAGGTTTAAGTTCATTTTTTCATTTTGGGGGTAATTTTTTGATAAATTTTTGGACTTTTAAGGGTATTCTTGTCATGTTTGGCCATTTTATGGAATCTTTCTTCATATGTTTTTTGAAATGTGAATAACATGGAAGCGAAGTGTTCTTACTTTTCTCCTTTAGGTCATTTTCTGGATTTTTTCTGTCATTTTTTTAATATTTTCAGGTCATCAAAATCCAGGTTCTGCATATTACATTTTTGGGTCATATTTTAGGTCATTTTTCTGGATTTTTAGGTCATTTTATAGGTCATTTTTTAAATATTTTCAGGTCATTAAAATCCAGGCCCTGATTATTACATTATATAGATCACCAAGTGGTGGAATACATGATTTTTTTAACTTACTAATACCATATGTCCAAAAAGTATCAAACTTTATTTTTTTTCGCTGTAAGTAATGGCCAAAAGGGGTGGGGAAACTGAGGGTAGTGGAAGAAGGGACTTTCATGCGCATGCATGACTTTTTGCTGACTCACAACACTGCTGGATGTGTCTGTGGCTGCCAGAGAGCGAAGTGGTGTAACACGTGTTCATCGCATTCTCGTTTCGCTCAAGAAGACAGAACGCTTGGAGCAGCAATGCTGCTTAGTTTTGTCAGAAACTTGGGGATACCCAAGCGGAAACAATCCAAAAAATTCAGCAGGCTTTCGGCGATGATGCAATGGGGGTCACTCAAATTAAAGAGTGATTCAACCGCTTTAAAGATGGCTGTATGTCGGTGGACAGTGAGCAGCGTTCTGGGAGACCGTCAACGAGCCGAAATGCTGATGTCATTGAAAAAGTGTGGACACTGATCATGGAGGGCCTTTGTTTGGCCATCCATGAAGTTGCTGATGAGGTTGGGATCAGCAGAGGTTCCACAAACACAATTTTAACTGAGGATTTGGGCATGCGAAGAGTGGCAGCAAAATTTGTGCCCAAGCTGCTTTCGCTGGAGCAGCAACAACTCTGCCTTGAGGTCACGCAGAAAATGCTGGTGTGCGCCAACAGTGATCCCGAGTTCCTGAAGACTGTGATCACTGGTGACGAGTCATGGGTGTATGGATATGACCCGGAAACCAAGGTCCAGGCATCACAATGGAAGCATCCAACATCCCCGAGGCCCAAAAGAGCACGACAGGTTCGGAGCAATGTGAAGGTGATACTGACTGTTATTTTTTCGATTACCAGGGTGTTGTGCATCATGAGTACGAACCACTAGGCCAGACTGTCAATAAGGAGCACTACCAAGAAGTCCTCCGCCATCTTCATGATGCAGTTCGGTGCAAGAGACCGGAGCTGTGGGATGCACGCAACTGGCAGCTGCATCATGACAACGCCCCAGCTCGTTGATCGCACCTGATCCAGGGTTTCCTGGTCAAGCACGGCATTCCACAGGTTTGCCAGGCTCCCTACTCTCCTGACATAGCTCCTTGTGATCTCTGGCTGTTCCCGAGATTGAAGACACCGCTAAAAGGCTGCTGTTTTGACAGCCGCGAGAACATCATACAGAACACGACAGCGAAGCTGCGTGCCATTCCAAAATAACCCTTCCAGAATTGCTTCCAGCGATGGAAGGACTGCTGGGCTAAGTGTGTGGTGTCACAGGGGGCTTACTTTGAAGGTGATTGGGTACTGGAACCACCCAGATACAAAACTTTTTTTTCCCGGCCCAAGGTCGGATACTTTTTGGACAGGCTAGTAGATATATTGAAGCAGCTTGTTCAGAAAGATGGATATATCATTCTTGTTTGAGACTTAAATATAAATACCCAGGAAAATGGATGTGGTCATAAGCAATTATTAGATATCATTAATGCTTATAACACGACTATGACTATAAATATTCCTACTCAAGTAACCGAGAGTACGGCAACAATTATAGTTCAAATCATTACTAATATACCTGCTAATTGCTATTACTTTTTTATTGCTAGTGGGGTGGGACTAAGTCCCTTGTACTGCAGCCATTTCTGGCCTATTGTACCAGCCCCAGATGATAGGTGAGGGTGATTGTGGAGCAACCGGTGGAATTAAGATTGGCAGGGGAAACCGAAGGCCTCGAAGAAAACCTGCCCCAGCACCACTTTGTCCACCACAATTCCCACTTGACCAGATCTGGGCTCGAACCCGGGCCACCACGGTGGGAAGCCAGTGAATAACCACTTGAGCTATGGCGTGGCCCTAATTGCTATTATACTAAAGTTATAAATAGCCTACTTTTGGATCATTATCCACAATATATAACCATTAATATAACCACACCACTACAAATAAGTTGTTATAAAGAGGTTACGGATTTACCAGATGACAATATAACCTGCTTTTGCTCTTTTACACAAACTGAAACTTGAACTGAGGTGTTTAGTGAAAATGATATACAACGTAAATGCTTTTAGAATCGGTTAATGCATCAATTAGAGATGGCATTTTTCCATCTATATTAAAAAAAGAGTTGGTCATTTCTCCTATCTATAAGGGGGGCACTAAGGAAGATGCAAGTAATTATTGCCCAATCACACTTGTTCCTACTTTCTCTAAGGTTCTGGAAAAAGTAATAGTTAATCAATTAACAGTCTTCCTAGATAAACATAATATATTAAATAAATTTCAGTTTGGTTTTAGAAAAAAAATTCTACTAATAACACTATTGCTACAGTTATTGAAAATATAATAGATAACTTTAATGATAAAATAAAATGCAACTGCGTATCATTAGACTTATCAAAAGTATTTGATTGTATTCAACATAACATTCTTAGGGATAAATTATATAAATATGGTGTTCGTGGTATTCCACATATGTTAATTAAACCATATCTAGTAAATAGAACACAACAGGTGAAAGTACCACATATGGAAATCAATAAAATGAAGGAATATTTATCGAGTAGCCTTCCAATTAACTGTGGAGTCCCTCAGCGATTGGTCCTTGGTCCATTGCTTTTTATTTTATACATAAATGACTTTCCTCGCCTAACACAAGGTAGATCTATAATGTATGCAAACGACACTTCAATACTAAATATGGGGCAAGATATAAATTAACTCCAATATATAAATTCAACTAATATTGAAGTTGTGGAGAAATACTTTGAGATGAATGATTTATTCATAACCCCAGCCAAAACGCACTGCATCTTTTTTCAGACAAAGCAATGTAGGCAGGACCATAAATATAAAATTTTAATAAAGAATATGGAAATAGAGAATGTTAAAAGTATAATCTTTTTGGGGGTAGTAATTCACAGCACCTTGAACTGGGACATTTATATTGATAGAACCTGCAGTCAAATTAGCCGCAACTTATTTATAATAAATAGACTACTCGACCTAAAGGGTAGAAGAATGTTATATTATGGTTTGATCTATCCCTTTCTAACATATGGAATTGTAGTATGGGGACACAATGCTAGGGTACTTACTAAAAGAATTTTTATTCTTCAAAAAAGAGCAGTACGGTACACTGCAGGACTAAAACCTTTAGAATCATGCAGAGATAGTTTTAAACAACTTAAGATTTTAACAGTATATTCATTGTACATACAACAAACCATCTTATATGTAACTAATAAGTGTAACTGCACGGTAAATAAACAAGTACACCCACACACACAATACAAGAAACAACAATGACTAGCATAAATGGCAGCATAACTTAGAACTTTATAATAGTAAACCTTCAGTTGCTGGTTGTATCTTTTATAATAAATTACCTAATAATATAAAACAACTTGAAAATAAAAACCAGTTTATAGGGGAACTGAAGAATTTACCCATTAATGTGTGTTACTACTCAACTGAAGACTATATGAATGATATATTCTTAAATACTGGATAATGATGCACACAAGATGTAAACTATCATTACATATTTTGTTAGTTTATTTGTTAACAATTTATTGCATTTTTGCTAATTTTATAATTTATATCATGTGACATGTCCTGCATTAATGTAACGTCATCTATAAGATGAATAAACATGAATGAATAAATGACTGAATGAATGAATGAATGAATATAATCACTGCTGAAACCTGAGCCACATCACTCTGCTCCTAAATTCAGTTAGACATCACTACTGTACATACAATTCTACACTGTGGCATTCTGTTGTGATCTCTGTTGCAAAATACAAGTGACTTCTGAGATAATACAAGGGACATAGAACAGTTATGTCAGACATTACACCATGTCACTGAATATTAGTTAAAAGAGAAAGAATTCTTAATACGCAATAGTTTATTGGCTTCTCAAACAGTACTCTGCTCTGTAATCTTAGATCCAACATGATCAAATTTTGAACCTCCCTTTTTTGGAAAAGTGTCTGCCACCCTGTGGAAAAACAAAATCATGGCAGTGCCACCAAGTTATTTAATTTCATAAACTCAATAGCTGATTAAGCCTCATAAAACAATTGCATAATTAATAAACCTGTATTTATGGCACAAGTAAGTGGTTCACTTGTCATTGGAACTATGTCAAGATCTGTGATTAAAGGTATTCTCTGTTGGTTATTATTCGTTTACCTATCAACGATCGGTATCTGCCCCCTCTTCGATTTTCGGCAAAAATAAATTGATACTGAAGAAAAGAAATAAACATACCAACTACTAATAATAAAATTTGGGGGTAGTTTTTAATTATTCTTCTATCTTGAACACTCCTAAATGGTTAGCAGAAAGTTTTGAAAAGGCATAAACATAAATTTGTACAAATTTTCTGGTTGTCGTCGCTTTGGAAAATTGGCTGCACCCCCTGGAAAAAATCGTGGCAGTGCCCATGCTGTCAAGCTCTCACACACCAAATGCGTACTTGTGGCAACATTACTTGTCAAAATTTGGGCCAAACGTCGCTACCGAAGGGTTACAATGAACGGCAGTGGTGAATTCAAAGCTCCACTTTCCACCGCAAACATCCACGCCTATATCCAATTATAAATTCAGGAAACTGATGAAATGATCTATTCTTACTGACAACATTATTTTTCTCCTGACACAATACGATCTTTTAGTTAGCACAATGAAGTACACATTCCCACTACGTGGAAATGAGGTTATGTTAAAATAGTAAACCACCCCAACTAGATTATTACATTTAAAACACCATTTTCTTTCAATATGACCCTCGAACGCCCTTCTTCTATTACATCCATGATGAAATTAAAGGTTCGCTGTCTGTCACAATCGTGGCCTAGACCAGCTCCACACCAAACATTTAATTTTTTAACAGGATTACATTACAACACTTCTGAACTGAACAATTGAATGGTAACACATGCGTGTTCCCCGCGCACCGCGCGTAACACAACCCCTCCCCCCCTTTCAGTACTTCTAGGTGTTCTAGGTTACGGTAAGGTTACAAGTACCAAACATGCCGCCTTCTCTCAGTAAAATACCGTACAGCCTGGTACAGACTGAGTCCATAACCTAAAATGGAGTTAATATGAATGTGCGTTTGCAGGTAAATTGCGGATCCTCTTATTCTACAGTTGCATAAAGCTATTCGACAACAATTGTAGACTCCATGGAAACCATCCAAATGGCCTGACTTCGAATCTGATCACCCACACATGTAAAAACATCTTTCATAAAATCATACTTATCGTTCCACTGCATCAAACGTTGTGTAAATGCCTTCAAACTACACATTATAGCTCTAGGTTTAGCTCCAGAGCTTTCTGGGTATTAATGATCACTGAATAAGTTTCTTTAATAGGGGTCACATGTCAGAATGCACATACATATGACATATAATCCCAAATGTTTGTTTAGCATATATCATTGAATTCTGTTATTACTTTAGTCACATATTTTAACAGTAAAAATTAGTTCCTAAAATTAATAAAATGAAGAATTATTTCATCTGTTGTTAAGACGTACTAAGGTAATCTCCTTGAAAACTTTCCACATTCCAAACACAGACATACAAATTTTGTTGCAACTGATTTTAATTTACTGCCCACATAATTCCTCTTTCACCACCCTCCATACATGTTGGGTAGCAGCAGTGTCAATGACCCACCCATTTTGAGGAGACAGTCCAAGAAAGGCGAGTGTACCGCCATTCAGGAAGATCCAGCTACTTATTCTCATATTTTGGTTAAGCAAGCTACATGAGGACTGTTATTGTTATCGTTACATCAGTAATGCAATATCATCACTGAGTCAACATATGTTCCACAATTGAAACTATCAGAGGATATCAGCCTCTCATAAATATGGCTGTAGCCAAGTATTTGCCTCTAAGCACGCTTGAAAAAGGCTCTAAAAATAAGGGACTAATTTATGTGATTCCCTATCATATCTGTTGAACTTAAAAAATGACACACACACTATTTTGCATGAGGATTGTTGTTACAGTACTTCTGTACCTGTAATTACATTCTTTCTTTAGCGAAGCTTTCATCATCTCATTCTATCTCATACTTCACATCATTGATAATGTTCTATTCTATGAGCAGAATTTTTTCACATACCCTTGATGTAGCATTTTTATTTCTCCTGCACTGCTTGTATGTTGACCTACAGGATTAATAAATAATAAATGATGATGCTTTGTAGATCACAAAGTACATTCTGAGGATGACTTAGGGAAAATTTCCACATTTATTCTAATTAACACTTTCTTTGAGAACAGAAAATTAGAATATAATGAATACATTACAATATTTCTCACCTCTAGTCATCTATGTGTAAATGCTTACTGCTACAATGTGGTTCATAAGCTGTGCAGCCAAGCTCACTTTCATTGCACTCTGTGCAAGTGTTCAGGTTTGTCCATCAGCTTACACACCTGGTGAAGCAGAGTGGGTTTGTCATGTTCTTATATTTTAAAAATGTGTTCCCACTCAGTGAGATTTCAAATGCAGATCATACTTCAGGCACAGGGTCTGCACACACTTCACAGGGTGTGGAGAATCATATACTGCTGTAATTTCTTTAATATGTAACCATTACTATGGGCAGATTGCAAAAGTCATCTAGGTGGGAGAGGAAGTAGTGTCTGGAAAAGAATTATAGGACTTCAGCTGCATACAAAGCCAATACTTGGTCTTCAGAATTCCACATCCAGTCCTTAGGCTTCTGTCTACTGTTCTTAACAATTGCCACCAATTACCTGGCAGCTTCTACAGTCAGACAAACCTGATTCTCTATCATTATTTCACTGTACATGTTACTGACCTTTTCCATATTCTGCACTGTGCACTACTTTTTAATTTGCAAAGTACACTCTTCCTGTTTCGAATATGTACATAGTTTCCTTTTCCTTGGTGTCAATTCTGAAAACAAAACCTAATGAAGTTCCTTCACCAGAGAATTCCTTGCTCTAGACTTTGAAGAAGAGCCTTAACAATTGAAGCCCAAGTTTTCCATCAGAAGAATTTAAATGTGCTTCGGGAAAATGTTTCTTCCACTGCAAAGGTGTTGGTTGCTCTTGATGATAGTTGGACTGTACACATTTGTAAGGAAGTGCCTGCAAGGACAGGAAGAGGTGTTACAGTAAATGATAAATGATATCTCCCTGTAATGCACTGTAAAAAAAAGTACAACATAGCTGTAGAAAGTGACAATATCACTGAAGTACATGAGTCATTTTTATTATCTTCCATCTTTGTATTCCTTCCTATATGCTTGCTTGTTTTATGTATGGGGTAAAGCAACAGTGCTCTTTTTGTACTATCTGGCAGTAAGTCATAATTAGATGCAAGGCTCTCACAGTGGTGACTGTACAGTGTTCTATCTTCTAGGAAATAACACCATGTAGTCCAGTGGAAGTCAGCCAACTTCTTCAGAGAAACATATTTCCACCATCATCATGAGAAAAGAGTAGGCCAAGCAAGAAACCATCGTGAAGCAAGCGGCGAGCAGCTCTGCTTGCAAGAATATGGTATTTTTTATGGGTTTATTTAATCATGCCCACAGTAGCTCTGACTATATAGCGTTGAATGGCAGGATGCTTAACGAATGATGAATTGGAAAGGATCAAAATTTTGTGATGATGGTACATTGCTACAATTATCATGTTTCTGGATATTATTGTCTTGCCTATATTTAAAAACCGTCCTGTTTATCTTTCAAAACAAGTTTTCGAAACGTTTTGAAAAATACACAGGACAGTTGTTAAATAAAGACAATGGATAATGTCCAAAAACATAATACTTTGTAACCGTTCATCATAATTTGGACTATTTTTGTATTAATTACGTTTATATTAAGTTAATATCATGTAAATACAAACAGATCCGGTAGATAGCCAACTCTTACACACAGAANAAACGTTTTGAAAAATACACAGGACAGTTGTTAAATAAAGACAATGGATAATGTTCAAAAACATAATACTTTGTAATCGTTCATCATAATTTGGACTATTTTGTATTAATTACATTTATATTAAGTTAATATCAAGTAAATACAAACAGATCCGGTAGATAGCCAACTCTTACACACAGAAGTGACATAGTTCAAGTTTTGCTATGTGGACAGGAAGTAACATCTGGTACTTTTCCTGGAATTCTGACAGTTTCAGCAAAGTCAGAAAGTCTTTGATAATTTGAGAGCTGACAGCTTGGAACAGCTATAACTTAGAAGTGGGAGGGCTGGAGCCTCAGCCCCTGATCATAATGCATCAAGTCGCTGTCAACCTTAGCATCAGGTCAGCAACTGCCAGACTCACATAGCAAAGCAACATGATTGGAAATTCAGAAATTTAGGGAAACTTATAGTTTGAAAACTTAACCAATGGCAAAGTGGAGGAGTGTGTTTCTCTTGGAGTCTGTGGTTCACGGACCTCAGGATACAGAGAGAGTGCATTCCACCTCAAGGAGTCTGCATCCAACTTTCGGCCAAGTCAGGCACAAATTACAACTACGTCCCTTCCGTAAAGTATCATAAGTTAAAATCCAAATAAGTGTTATTAATAGATTCTGTTGTATTCAGTGAGCTGGAGTGAATTAAACAATTACTAAGTGCAAAAGTCTGAAGTGCTGAATGTGACTGTACTGTAAGAATCTTCCTGCCCTGCCCGAGCCAGACTCATATAAGACCCTGGGATAAGAACTCATCTCTACGCAGAACCCAGATACTCCCGTCTTTCCCTACTTGCGAGACACCTAAGGGTAGCCCAGGAACGGACTCCCGCCTACCAGCACCAACAACCACAATTCTCCTCCCTTCTCACCTAACTTCTCGCCATCCACAAAGAGGAGGAGGAGGGCAGTAACTCCAGTGGAGGTGTTCAGAAAGAGGTGCATGTGAGCCACAACACCAGAAGGAAGAAGACAGTGATAAGTGGTTCCCAACATAAGGTGCCTAAAGAAGTGAGCGGTTAGAACTTGTGGAAAGGATCTGCTTGCTTCCTGCTTCAAGCTGGTTTCTTGCTCGGCATAGTCTTTGATAATGAAGATAAAACTGATATATTCCACCAACACAGTGGTCAACATTCACTAGACTACACAGCTTAGCATCCCAAAAAAAATAAACTCTTCAAGTGATTATTTTGTTTTTCAATACTGTCATACAATAAGCAGTAAACGGCAATACTCTCAAAGGAGTCAAAAATGAAAGAGATTACTGATTATTTGTTCATTGAAAGGATGAATATAACAGTATCTAGAAACAATACCACAAAACACAACACGGCCAACAGACAGCCTGATCCAAGTCATGTGACCAAGTGACTTAAGGTATTCAAAGTAAAGGAAACGTCACAACCACACTAAATTAAAACATTTGGAATGACTTATGCTTCAGCTTTTCACCCATTGAGCTCAAAACGGAAATGACAAAAATAAAAAATATACAAATAATTTGACAATTGTAACTCAAAACAAAACCATGTCATTTTGCTTCTAAGTCTAATGTCATAAATGATTCAATTGGATGGATTAGTGTACATCTAATCAATCCCTACACTCTCAAACATTAAGTGTAGTGGACGACACTAACTTTACTATACTCTACTGGATGAGGAATAGCAAATGGTTAAAATGATAATTACTATCAACTAAGTATAAGGTTTGTTGCATTTAATTTCTGCTGCCACAGAAGTTTTACATATAGCTCCTGAATATGTATACACCAAGGTGCGTCACTTGGGCCCACCTGAAATGTAAAACTGCTTACACAGTAGAACAGAAGGTATTTATGTATTGATGAGAAACCCAGGAAACTTTAAAATTTACTTTGCCTGACCTCAGAAGTGTATCTCCAAAAAGACACCCATAGCCTAACCTCAGCATCTACCTCCAGATCCACAAAGTTATGCTTTTGGTTTTGTTTTTCACAATAAATATCTAAAAACCTTCTAACATTACATTCTCTTGAAGCATCCATGTTTTTATTTTCACTGATACTTTTGGTTACCCACCACTATATAAGTACTTATATGGTTGGCAGCACTGTTGTTACATATGTGTCAGTAAATTTTAAAATTACGTGGGTCACCTGCCAATACACATGTACCAGGAAATATTTTAAAGAAGTTGCTTATATCTAATAAACGCTAAGAATGGAATGTTGGAATTAATGAGGGGCAGCCATGAGTCATTGTTTGAAGTACAAGTTTCTTCACAATATGATACACAATTCAAAGCAAAGATATTATTTTCTTCTCAATAAACAGATGCTATTCTAAGGAGTTTAACATAAGCAGCTGTTTCAAAACTTTTGTCTGGCTTGTTTCTCTAATCTCGCCAGCAAGGAACATCTCATCCACCACAGTATATACCTGTAACAGAGAACATCTTCATGAATTTAAAATCACACAGAATCAACATGCATCATATCTGGATGGCAAACGGTTAAATACTTGCCTTGTAGAAATTGAATACCAGATCAAGTTCACAGACATTGTGAAAATATTCATTCAAGACTTCAACAAAATTGTGTATTGCTTCAAGATAGCATAAATTATTGTCGTTAACATCCACACAGATACAGAAGTATAAACCTGCATATCTTCGATATACGATCTTGAAGTTTCGGAACTGTAAACAGATGTAATTACCACATTACTTGTTTGAAATCAAACTTGATCCTGATTACTCTCTTCTGATATGTGACATGGTTAGTTTGGTAAACAGGTACCATCATTTTGGAGGAACCTGGTGCTTTCATCCTCTGAACATAAAAGTAAGCCATGCAGGGAAGAAAGATATATGTTACAGGGAAGGGATAATGGGAACCAGAGCTGAATAAAACAATTTCTATGACTTCATCTAGAAATTTGATCCCTTCCATGAATATGTACGTGGGTAAACTAATAAGAGGACATTATCGCTTCTTTCTCAGATGTAATGGATTTGACCTTCTGGTGTGTTCTGGCCCTGACTGAACATCAGAGACAAACTGTCCTAGGCATCATGAACAGGGGATAGTGCCATTACAAGGCATCTACACAAGAAACCATAGAAGAACAAAATCATTACATAAGCAGGATTCAAACCTGAAATCCTAGTGTTCAATAACTCTTAAACGTGCATATCTTAGACCATGTTGCCACTGTTACTCTTGTTTTCAATAATGTTTCTCGGTTTATTTAATATTTTATGACTTTAACAGGATTTGCAGCACTGAATAATATAACAACTGTAATTGATAATCTGTTTTAAGACAATGCCCTGGCATATGTATGGTCTCATGAAAATCAAGAAAAACTTCAGCAAATATATTTCATCTGCAGATGTCAAGAACTAATAACGGATGCCAGGAAAATTATGAAAAACCTCAGCAATGATATTCCGCCTCTACGGGTCAAGAACCAAGAATGAATGTCAAATACTACAGTGTTACATTCTATATCCTCGGCGAAATCATAAACTTAGGTTTCATACCTCTACAAAATTTGTATGTTTGGCATCTCTAACGGTTACAACTGCATGCACTTCTTCAATCAGTTTTTGCTTTTCATCGTCGTCAAAATTCATGTACCATTTGGCTAGCCGAGTTTTCCCAGCTCTGTTCTGAATAAGGATGAATCGAATCTGTGAACATGAAATTTACAATTAAACTGTCCATCACGTAAGCAACAAACGTGTGTGCTTTAAGTACTTACACGAACACTTTTCAAAGTTAAAAATATATACATATATATTACATAATTAAACTACGTGTATACACGTAGAATCCCAATAATTACCATTTCCTACTGCCGGCCAAACATATATAATACAGCACACACCCCTTCTCCACAACTTCCAACATTAACACCATGCGCCAGCGCAGTCTACTGGCAAATGCTAATATGATGGATTAAACAAACGAAAAGCTAAATGGTTTACTATGGTGAGTAGGGAATATATTATGTATTGAAAAATTATAACGAGAAAAATATTGTCACTAAGAAACTTATGGTATCTGTCACACTAAGTCTGGCAAAATTCAAAGATACCTAAGGCTGCTGGTTCATTAGCCGAGTAATGTTGTCAATAGTTGATTTCGAAGCGTTGAGTGATGCTGCCATCTGCTGAATTTATGTGGAAATAAAGCTCAAGGCGGGTTTAAGGGGGGTGGGGTGCAATTTTTTCACCCGGAAGTTGTGTGTTTCGTTTCAAGTCCTAACTGCATCACAGGTTCTTGACGCTGATGAAAAATAACAATACCAAGTTTGAGGATCATGTGAAATACTGACATTCATACAAAAGATATGGGAGCTGAGGATTTGTTAAAACTGAAAAGAAATCAGGAGTTAAAAGAACTGTAGAACAACAACGGATTCCATAAATATTTCTGTAGAAGGAACATCACAGGAGATCACCAGCAGCAATTAGACAGCGTCACAATATTGTGTGACTTATGAGTACTGAAACTGCAATTTGAAAAATTAGATTTTTCGTTATGTGTTGTAATCGTGGATAACTGAATAAATGTAGGCTTACGGTTCGGCGTCGCAAAAGCCTTAACACAACAGCAATGTCGTCGCAGGTAGCTTCCGAGTCAACCGTTTATCACGCTATTTTAAAATTACATTCAATCATTCACCTGTACTTCTAGATCTAGAATCAGAAATTCGGAATACAGTCACGAGTAGGTTAAGTGAAACCTTGTTTCTTTGACACAGATGTGCGACGTGGTGGACCCACATGCATCACTCATAGTCAACTTGAAATGATGGCTGTATTGATATTTCGGAATGAGTACAAATTGCGAAGGTCTCCGCACTTTCCCGAAATTTCTTCTTATTAATGTAGTTGGGTTAAAAAATTCACACTCTAATGAATGCTGTGGATATGGAGACGTATGGGTGTGAAATTTAGTCTCCCATATTGAAGGAAGAATGCAGACTCAGGATGTTCAAGAAAAGAGTACTGAGGAGAATATTTCGACCCAATTTATAATCTTAACCAAATATTATTAGAATGCTCAAGTATGAGATAGCCAACAGCGTGAATCACTTGAATAAAATAACCTGACAGAATGAGACAACTTGGTAGACCTAGACGCAAATTGGTGGATAATACTGAAACTGATCTCAAAAAGAAACCTATGGAAGCGTAGTGTGTGGACTGAATTCATCTCACTCAGGACACAAATTTGTGGCGGGCTATTGTGAACACTAGTCATTCTATTGAATAAAATGCTGGAAATTCTAGTAGCTTCTCATAAAAAGGACACCGCAGCATGGAAGTAGTTCTCTTTGTGGGGTGGGGTGAGACTGACTCCACCTGGTGCGTCAATCACCAGTAGACCCATTGTACAGGCCTCGGTGGAATGATAACTGACAGGAGAAACCGACGTACTAGGAGAGAACCTGCTCCAATGCCACTTTGTACACCACAAATTCAAGTTTATCTGTCCTGGGATCTAACCCGGGCGGTTGCGGCGTGAGACTGACGCCCAACCGCCTGAGCTATGGCTTGGGCTTTTTTCTTTATTCTTAGTGGGGTGAGACTGAGCCCACTTGGTACTGCGGCCACTTCTGACCTATTGTACCAGCCCCAGATGATAGGTGAGGGTGAATGTGAAGCAATTGGTGGAATGAAGATTGGCAGGGGAAACCGAAGTACTCGGACAAAACCTGCCTCAGCTCCAATTTGTCCACCATAAATCCCACTTGACCAGACCCTGGATCGAACCCGGGCCGCCGCGGTGGGAAGCCAGCGACTAACCGCTTGAACTATGGCGCGGCCATGGCTCGGACTTAGTTATTTAGTTAGTTAGTTTAATGAAGTTATCTTTCAGAAAGTTTGGGCCGCCACCAATCTTAATCTTTTTCGGAGCTCAGACCACTGTTTACCACTATTTCAAACTCTGCCCTGAAGAAAGAAGACAGTTATTTCTATGCTATGTAAAGTGTCGCCGTGTATTTGAAGCGTGCAAAGCCCAATATTTCACGTTTAGGCACGGGTTTCCTTAAAATATTCGTGTTCAGAAAGAAGTGATGTTCACGTGACAAGATAATGTGTGTAATGATAAGGAATGTCAAGGTTGGGGTCGACTCTTCACGGGCCCCTCATACAGAGTGCCCCCAAAAGAAACGACAGCCCCTAAACATGGTTTCGCCTGCATTGTCTGGAACGGAAGTTATAGTCAATCAATCATTGTTACAACAGAATGTATCGTTCACTTTATCTTGAAACACGGAAAAGTTTCAGATCCACGTCAATTTTCGATCATGCCATCATGCCTCTGTATTTACCTTTTCAATATCACCAACTCAGTATCGTAAAGGCTTTCTTCAGTAGCTGACGGTCAATCAACTGTTAATAAATCCTGCTCATTTGGGTCTATTTTTTGTTAGCCGGACTATGGCCCTGAGGTCGACTCTGCCACTAATAGAAATGAGTACTAGAACTCTTTTTTGGGGTAAAGTGCGGCCAGTCGGCAGGAGCTTAATGCTGGCAACCTCGCCACCATCTGTGAGCTGATTGTATAGAAAACGATATAACCTCGGCGGCTCACAACCCTGTGGGCCTCCACTGTCTTTTACAGGGATAGCTTTAAATTTCTTACTCTTTTTTTAATTTATTTAACAATGCTGTCATTCGTTCAGATTAGAAATGTTATCCATTGCTGGCACATCATCTAGTTAAAATTAATCTTTTGAAGCCTGAAGTTGACTGAAACAATATTACAGGCAGTTACCACTCTTATGTATAGTTACCTTCCTAGACAAAGCTCGTAAAGAGAAATTTCATAATGTGAATAGTTGTTTCTCGTAGGCGTAATGTTATAATTGGAGATCATGTTCCCGGAAAATGCAATAACAAATACCACTCTTCTTCTTGCCTGTGAACATATAAGCACCAGAAACATACCAGCTAATGTTGTAATAAAGAAGACAATCTTGTGCTGTAAAAATACCTGTAAGATTGATAAAATTATTAAAAAAAAGTATAACAAAATCACATAGATATACACCAGAACAGGGCATAAGACGAACTGGCATGGCGACGTTAGGTTCCTTTGTTTCATCTCCAGTTAACACATGCTCGTTTTTGTTCGAAAGGGATTTCTGATGAACGAGTTCGCATTCGGATGATAAGACAAGCCACGAGTATACATTTCATTGTAAGACATGGTTGACATTTCATAATACGAATTTTCATAAAGTGGGAATTAAAGATAAAGGTAAAGTTGTCCCTGTTTTTAACTAATTAAACACTACGCCAAGAAAAGGCAAGGGGGGGTTATGGTATAGATTCACAACTGCATTAAAAAATCAGACAAACCGGTTGATATTGCTTGTGGAAATAATTATGTTTATTCTAAAAATTAGATGAGACATATAAATATACCCTGTAGATAAAATACAAAGATTTTAAATGCTATAGCAGTTTGTATACGTAATTATCACTGAGTTTTAAAGAGTTATATGCCCTTAATGTTCACACATTTGTAAAGAGAGGAGAAAAAGCGCCAAGTTTCCATCCAGAACTCTCCGTAACACAATCCAATACAGCTTCATAGCTGCACTTGGGTTTTAGTAAGGGATCACATGTTATAATTCACTCCAGAACACAGCGAACTTGAACTGCATGGGTCAAGGTAAGGGCGGGCGCGTTAGTTACGCCCAACTTCCTCTAAGCTAAGCCGATCCATCGTCTTTTTCAAGGGGCCGACGGACAATCGTCCGTCGCCTGAGATATCTCTGTCGAGGTTATCGCTGTGACAGATATAACGTTCTGCTTTCATAATATCATGCCTCCTATTGCCTTCAAGCGGACGAAATAACACCATCCATGCTCCTAACAAACAACGGCAAAATCGTGCCATTACAACGCGCGGAAACTGTATAATGTAACCAGCAAGGCCTCTTCGTGTGTTTTATGGGATGTGACAGCGGGCAACCGAGCAGGTTAGTTCAAGCGGTAGAGATTGTGGCTTGTGTTCAGAGTTGGAAATGGTGGTAGACGAGAGTAGATGCCGTCTGCGCAGTTCCAGAAAGCCATCTCCAGTGCTTTAAGACGCAGTAACTACCGATGCAAGTAGGAACTCATTCAATCTCCTGCATTGCAACAGTTTCCTTCTGACGCATGTTGGTAATTCTTCGGGGCTTCTCTACTGATCTGGAGCGTCTACCAAGTTCTGAGCTGGAGCGTTTGTCTGGGTCTGAACTGGAGCGTCTACCCAGTTCTGAACTGGAGCGTCTGCCTAGGTTTGAACTGGAGCGTCTACCTGGTTCTGAACTGGAGCGTTACATAGTTCTGAAGTGGAGCGTCTGCCTGATCAGAACTGGAGAGTCTACCTGATCAGAACTGGAGTGTCTGCCTGATCAGAACTGGAGCGTCTGCCTAGGTCTGAACTGGAGCGTTTGACTAGGTCTGAACTGGAACGTCTGCCTAGTTCTGAACTGGAGCGTCTACCTGATCAGAACTTTAGTGTCTGCCTGAGCAGAACTGGATTGTCTGCCTGATCATAACTGGAGTGTCTGCCTAGGTCTGAACTGGAGCGTCTGCCTGACCAGAACTGGAGTGTCTGCCTGAGCAGAACAGGAGTGTCTGCCTGATCAGGACAGGAACGTCTGCCTGGTTCTGAACTTATCCTTTATGAGGATGCTAGTACATGCAACGTCCTTATTTGCCTCACTCTACCTGCCGCCTGCTTCTTGTTGGTTGCCTATTTTTTTGCTCATTTTTCAACCCTGAAGATGAAGGCAGTATGTTCCTCCGAAACCTTGCCGAGGTCATTGGCTATTTCAATTGACGCAAACCTTCCAGCCGCACTATGACCCTGGGGTCGACTCAGCCTCTAACAGAAATGAGTACCAGGAATCTTCCAGGGGATAAAATGCGACCGGCGCCTAGGGCT